AAAATGTCTACTAATTTTGACTCTTTTTTTTTTTTTTTTTTTTTTCCCCACAAATGGCGGGCACTTGCCTATGACGGCATTGGCCATTACAAAGGCCACAAGCGGTGACCATTTCATTATGGAGCCACCGTTACCTCCTATGAAAGGACAGACAATTTTACATCCATGCCTTCTCCGGGATCCTTTGGTATCGCAGTGGGGCTTCCCTAACCACTATACCGCCTGGGCGGTTATTTTGACAAAATTTTAAATTTGCTATTATTTATTCTGATCTTGCTCATTGTACCTAGAAATTTTATTCTTTACTTAGGTTTTTATACAGTAGGCACCTGGAGTTAGGCAAAGCATAATGTAATAAATAAATAAGTTTTGACATTTTATTAGCGAATTCAGTTTTGTGTAGCTAAAACTAATTATAAAGAACAGAGACAAGAAATTTTCATTCAGAAAGTGGTATGAGAACATTGCAACATTTATTGTTTTCTACATATTTCAGCAATCTGAATTTGAACGTCATTCTGACTAGTAAATTTTTACTCAACATAAAGACACTTAAAATTAAAAAAATCAGTCTTAGAGAAGTGTAGATTTTGAATAATAGATACAAACCTCTCTTCTTCAGGAGCAAAAATGTTTTTGCAAAGAATGAAGGAGCGACAAACATTTTATATCGAAAGCAATAAACAGAACAAAGCGAAGACAAATACGGCGGCATCTCTGGCAGAAAATAATAGTGAAAGGAGAAAAACTGAGATATTCGATTAATGACGCTGTTCCGAATAATTAAGGGGCAAGTGTATCTTTGCGTTCTTGGAAGTTAAGCCTCAAATGTGCAATGTGATGCTTTCATGCAAGATGAAAATTGCTATTTAACTTGCTTTGTCCAGGGAAAAGGAGAATTGTACATCAATAACTGCTCATTTTCATTGATGCTTAATTTTTGCGTGCAAAGCATAGTTAAGATTTGCCAGTGTTAATCTTGATTTCCTAAAATTGGATCCAGATATTCAATACATGAATGTGCATTTGAAGTGATTTATTTGAAAGAGTCCAAAGATACCCTTTGTGTTAGAATAGCAGTTTCGTCAGTATACATACCAGTGTCATATTCTGTATATGCGGAATATCGTTCGCGAATTTATTATATAAAATGAGGCCTAATAATGACACTTGTGGTACATCGGCCAATACAGACCGGCAAGTATCCTTTATTGAACGTTAAAGAAAGGGTTGTTTCTTCACTCTAGATAAATTTACGCCATTGATGCAAAATATATCTTACATGGTCACGTTTCTCTTCGAGTCGCTTCAATTTCTGTTTTTGCTAATGAAAGGTTTCTTCACCAGTTTAGAAATCTTAAGCAATTTTCATTCAGTCTCTAATTTAGAGCTCACCTAATAACAATAACAGAACAACTTATCTACCACTTATACCTTAGTTTTTCAGCCCTATCCAAACTACCTTTTTAAAAACAAACGAATAAAATTTTGTCTTTTCTTAGGCCTTTCTACGATATGCTGATCTTTCAGATTTCGTGTGAAATTGAAGTTATTAATCTATCTGTTATGAAATCCAGCTGTACAATGATGAAGGCTGGACGGCAAAAATTCTTTCATTATGCTGTGAAATAATTTTAGTACGCCTAATTACTTTGTTTGAAAACGATAGTCTTTAAACTAATATAAACGAATTCCAACTCTCAGCACAGAGTTCTAAACGTCAGAAGTTTTAAAGTAAAAAATATTCATTCTTTTATGGTAGATATTGGACATGACTGAGAACTATATTGGAATTTTTCATTGGTTAATTGAATTTTATATGAGCCATGCATTCTTTTATAATATTACAGATAATTCTAATTTTAAAAAGTAACAAGTTTGAGAATTTTATATAAAATTACGTTTAAATGCTGAATAATTTATTTGAAATTGAAATTAATTTATAAATTATTACTAAATTTTCGGGATGCATGTTTTCCAGAAGTTGTGCAGAACTTTTGCTTTGAGCTGCATATATATATATATAGAGAGAGAAAGAGTTTGTCTTACCTTGGAATAAGAGAACACAGTTCGTATAATGGCTGAATTTATTTTTTAATTCTAGGGGTAAACACATACAACATTAGTCCAACTGTCATTTTAACTTGAACATTTAATTCAGATTATCAACGATTTTTATACAGTATGAAAATGGACGATAGGAGCATGAATATTTACAGGAAATTTGTCACAATAAAAAAAGTTAATAATTCTTTCATCTTTATAACATCGTACAACTTCTGTTAGTACGTCTTATGCGTCTCTCTTTCTCTCTCTCTTTTTTTTTTCGGGGGGGGGAACATGGCAGCTTCGTCTGCATTTTTTCCACAAAACAGTTAAAAGTTCCATCCATTGGCATCCAGCACCATCTGTCGGTCGAGAAAGATGACATCTTCCCACACGTTGATTGATATAAATATATGTATGTAAGATAAAAAATATGTGAATCAAAATTATAATTACAACTAATGGAAAACTCTTTAATTCTCTCTCTCTTCTAAAAATTGCAATAACTTCTCTGGATTGCGTCATTTCTACATCACTCGATTTTGCATGGCCTGCGCAGCGCTGATGACGTAATAATTGGAAACTGAAACTTTTTAACTCAAACTAAAACTTTTCTCTTCGTGTGTTTCCATCTAGCATAAATACGCACTTCAGCTTCGCTCTTTGCTCTGCTAGGATGTAATTTCGCTATCTTGCTTGCTATCACAATAATATCAAAAATGTAAATGTTCTGTGAATAGGAACGCCTAGAGTTCCAAGTGATTGTGGCCTCTAAAGTCAGTTGCAAATAAAAACGGAATTAAAATCGCCTCGACTGCCAAGTTTCTTGGATATTACGAACTCAACATGTTTAGTATACTACGAAATCAGAATGCTTCCTCTTCAATATGGATCTACGTACGCATCAACAGTACTCCGTCTTTTGTTTGCTTTTAGTATGTCACACACACACACACACATATATATAATTTGCTTGATTTGATTAGTTATAATTGCTTCTATTCAGGGAGTTATCATAGTAATATATCATTATATTAATAAAATTATTTTATAACATTTATTGTATAAAATTTCCTAATATATTATTGCGCCATTAAATGTAATGTTTTACGTTACAAAAATAAAGTATTAATACTTATTTCCTTTGAGTAACGTTGTATTCTTAGCGAGTACAAACTACTAGACGTCAACAAACTATGTTAAGGAATTATCCTAAGTCTTAAGTACGACAATGTCCAGAGAAAGAGTGCAAAGGACCCTTTATTAACGCAATATATTCACAGATTACACCGACTCGTGCTTACAAAAGCCGACAGTTTTGACTTAACTCAAAAGGTAACATGTAACTTGAAATAGAATAGAATTTAGCGTAACGGCTTTTCACGGGTCACTTAACGCGCAGGCAGGTCTGACTCGTAGCAGTCGCCGTAACAAGCCCAATGGCTAGAAACGCTCAACGCCACAAAAACTAATCGCTACTAAACCAAAGATAGCAACGTGGTCTTTAAGCAGGCAGAACACGCTCTCTCTTTCTTTCTTTCTCTCTTTCTAAATTCACCTTCCAAAACCTTCCCTTAAATACCAACTTCTTTCCACCTCATTTGAATACACGCGCGCTCTATCTTATTTTCATTCTGGGAAGAAAGCGAGGGTTGAATGTAGGAAAGTTGTTTTAAAATAAAATTAACTGTTAAATAACTTCAATAAATCCTCACAACGTTAATAAACAAAATCTTCTCTTAACCTTTTAAGAAATGAATTTTTTTATGTAAACTACTTGCGTAGATGCTGCCGAAACTCAGAATTTTAAGCTTGCATTTTTCAGTTATTGTAACACATCTTTATCATCCATATTGCACTTTAAAACACGTTACTGACTATGCAGATTTAAGAACAATATCTGAAACACACAAGAAGTAGACTGTGTTGTTTTGGTATATTCCTATACGCCTCAATGTTTGCCAGTTCCAGTCTTAGTAGAAGTTTGTCATTATGTCCATTAATTTTCACTTAATAAAGTACTGTTGCCTTCACACACTTTTTTCAATAAAAGTAATTGGCTTAGTAACGCGTAATAAATGCGGATAAAATGAAAAACATTTGGAAGTGGATTGTAGAGTGGAAACTGCGCATGGGATGAAAACTATTATACGCATTTATTACGCGCTTTTGTACAGGTTGAGGTTTCTTCTCAGATTCCAAGGAGAAACGGAGAATTGCTGTTCAATGTATGCCGTACTAAGCAATCTGAATATTTGCCAACTTCCTTTCGCGTAGGTTGAATAGGAGCAAAATCAAATGCGAGACAGTCGCTGACTTTCTCTGGGCATGAAATCACAGACCAAATGAGCACCTTTTTTAAGGTATATATACACTTGATTCTTTTCTATTTTTGGAAGATTCATTTGTTAATATCTGAATTCGCTCCATGCTTTTCCTAAAAGTTTAGGATATTCTTAAATTGCTATAACTGGTAATAAAATACTCAATACAATCTGCACTTTTTCAGTGTCAAAGAAAATAAGGGTGAGTGAGCATTTTAAATTTAGAAAGACGTAGTTCGAAAGTTATCTGCTAGCAGAAAATATATTAGCGTTATATATTGGTCATTATGCTATCCGTGAACAAGGAACACCTGTAAAAATTACTTTGCACAATAATGAAGCACACTTGGTGTAAAATGATTTTGATTCTAAACATTAACGAAACTTTTTGTTCTTGATTAAAATTTAATTAAATATTTTGCATTCGTTTAAGAACCAGCAAATTTTTCTATTTTTGTCTCGCTTTGAAATGAGCTTGATGCATCATGCAGTCCAGCACATGCACATTTTTAACAGTAAAACAGATATACGGGTTAAACAAATGATCCTTTTAATACAAGTACTTATTTAGCAAATCACTAATAGGTTTTAACTTCTGAAGCATTAATATTGAAAATGTTTCAAAAATACCTGACATTTTTTTTCTTTGAAAGCTTGTTTTCCGGATGACTATAAAGCATTTAGGCAGCTCGATGACCACTTCGAAATACTCTACCACCTGCACCAACTATGAGATGAATTCTTGGAGGGAGTGTAAACTGCAATCAAAATTTTACTTTTGTTGGATGAAGACAATCTGCAAAAGCCGATAAAGTAACTTAAAAAACTAAAAGATCCAACGATATAATAAAAAGCTGAAAGAATAAATGTATGTTTTGAAAGAGTGACTTCTCAACTCTTGTTAGAGTCAGTTAGCCAGTTTAAACTGGTTATTTTGCATTTTGCATTGTAAGGATTATGTTGATTTTATTAACAGTTAAATTTTAAGTTAAAGTTCCTTTCCTGTCAACGCCCACCAGCGGCCGAGCGGTAAAGACGCTGAACACTGGTAGTTCGGTCCGAGGTTCGAATCCTGCGAACGGGCTGGCTGCATGGGCGTTTTCGTGGTTTTCCCCATGTGTAACGTGTATACGAGCCAGTTCCTTAGAAAGTCCTCCACGAAGGCATCCCTCCCTTTAGGCAGATAGCCCTCGTGTGATTTGCCATGACTGAATAATCCAATTCAATCCTTTCCTGTCAAATTCTTAAATTCAACTTACTACTTCCGGCTAGAACGTAGTTTTAGAATCACTCTGAATACATAATGAAGAAGAGCGGTATTTAACAGCGAAGTTCTACTTGCTGAGTTAGAGAGAATCAGAGTTTCTAATTAGCGCGCGTTCGCCTTTTGGGCTACTCTCTCTCAACGCTCGGCCATAATAACAGCCCTTGATAGCTTCGCAGTCATTAGAGTGAGGGGGCCAACTCGATTAAAACTTTGACAGCTTCGGCTATATCTCCTTAGTTTATATTAGTTTTAGTTTACTTCTTATTCTCTTAAGTTCAAGCCAAGTGTCGGCTTTTATTGTACACTCCAAGACGGAGTTCTGTTAAATCTTATTGAAATAATAAAGGGCTAGTTACCCTTCCATCTTGTTGTTTTTTGTCACACGAACTTAAGCGATTATTCGCTTAGCAGTTCTTAAGATTCTTCACTTTCTACAGTAACAGAGGAATACACAAGTGAGAATCCCACAGCATATCAAAACGCCGGAGTTTTCTTCATTTATTGAGAAGGCAGTGTACAAAAAAAATTGCTTTCATATAGAACAACGTTATATCATTACATTTTGTTACAAACTCGGTAAATCAGATAACTCAAACAGTATATGGTGATACATCGCTATCCAAGAACACAAGCGTATGAGTTGCATAACCACTTTAAATGTGGGCGCGAAAGCGTAAGCAGCACTTTCGCGCCCACATTTAAAGTGGATTTCACATTTTTTCACATTTTTTGCGAAAGCGAAAGCAGCGTTGAAGATGAACCAAAGATACTGCGCTCTTCAACTTCAAAGAATGAGGAAAATGTGCAGAAAATTCTTTCTTTTGTAAAAGCTGACAGACGTGTAACAACTCTGTAATTTTTAGACATGCTTGGGATAAGCAAAGAAAGCTATAGATTAATTTTAATTGAACTTTTGATAGTACGTCAAAAGTAAGATAAAGAAAGCTGTAGATTAATTTTAATTGAAATTTTGACAGTACATCAAAAGTAAGATAAAAAAAGCTTGCCATGAAGATTTGCTGACTACTGCGAGACAGAACAACAATTTCTTAAAGTCTTATCTTATCTTAGCGAGAAATGAGACCTAGTCTCTATAATGCGATCTCAAAGCAAAAAGACAAAAGTACAGTGTGGATAGGACCATCTTCTCCCATACAAAAAAAAGCATAGATGTTGAAATTAAGACTAAGGTGATGATGATTATATTTTTTATAACAATGGGCTTATTGACCATGAATTTATCCATGGAAATCGATCCATTAATATGTAATTTTACATGGAGGTACTTTTTCGATTAAGAAACAGGGTAAAGGCGAGTTAGGAAGGAACCTTTTGATTCTGGGCAATGGGTTCCTTTTACATGATAATGCTAGGCCCCATATAGCATTTTTCTACAGCAATATCTTGCTAAGCAGTCAATTGCAGTGTTAAATTATCAACCATGTTATCCCAACTTTTCGTCAGCTGAGGTTTTGCTTTTCTGAAGCTTAAGATGACCATAAAACTACAGATATTTGAAACCGTCTCGGATATTAAATCAAATGTGCGTATTTTGCGAACGGTTAGTTCCAATTCCTCTAAACAGCGTTTCGATTATCTGAAGAAACGCTGTAAAATTTGTATAGAATCTTCTGTCAATTACGAGGGTAAGTTGAAAAATAAGTTTTCCCTGTCGACTGTGGTCAGAGTTGTGTATGAAAGTCAAAAAATAGAATGAGACATTAAAGATATGACATATCTTTATTTTTCCACATAGGTACCAAGTACATTGAGACATTTGTCATATCGCTTGATAAGCTTCAAAAGACCCTCCAGGAAAAAATCAGGGCTTTGCATATGGAAGAAGCGTTGAACGGCTTGTTTCACTTCAGTATTGCTTCAAAAGCGCCTTCCCCCCCCCGAGATTTTTCTTCAAAGCCGGAAACAGATGGAAATCGCTTGGTGCGAGATCAGGACTGTATGGCGGATGGTGTAGGCGCTCCCAACCAAGAGTTGCAATATGGTTTTGCGTTGCCGTCGCCGAATGTGGTCTGGCATTGTTATCCAACAGCAGAACGCCAGATGTGAGAAGGCCAGACCGCTTTTTCCGAATCCTTTGCGTAGTTTGAAGGAGATAAATTTATTCGAAGGTTAATAAATTATTCGGCTACTTTGTGGGCGCACTTTGTATATTACGACCTAAAAAGTTGTTCCTGAAGCTGAATTCAACTTAGCAGGTCCGCTAATTAGAACAAGGGTACGACAGGTGTTCTCAAGAGCTTTATATGCGAATTCTTCTACCGATAGATGACTGGCAATGCATTGATGGAATGTCGCTCGGTAGGTTTAATAATATTTAGACAATTCAGAAATTAACACATTATTACTTTTAAGAAGAAAGAAAAAATGCATTGATAGAGCCCAAATTTGTTCAAAACATTATATTCTCCGAATGTTCATTTTTACAACTAGAAGATTTCTAACATTTGTATCGCTTAAATGGCAATTTGTGAAAGTTTTCACGAGTCTTACATCTTTTTATAAATATTCTAATAACAGAAATACTGCAGAGAGCATTATAATGTACAGAAGAAATTATTAGAAGTGTCTAACAACAAATGCAGACATAAAAGAAGCATTGAAGAGTCAAAACGTTCTCACTCCTATAAGGTGTTGGTGTATTTAATTATGGCAAAGCACACTAGGGCTATCTGCCTGAGGGGAGGGATGCCTTCGTGGAGGACTTTCTAAGGGAAACTGGCTCGTATACACATTACACATGGGGAAAACCACGAAAACGTCATTGCAGCCAGCCCGTTCGTGGGATTCGAACCTCGGACCAAACTACCAGGGTTCAGCGACGTTACCGCTCGGCCGCTGGTGGGCCTTCACTCATATAAGGAAATTCATAAAATAAATATTCTTGTCAAATCGAATTAAAAAAGATATTTTGGGCATTGAAATTGAATTTTGAAAAAAAAAAAAAATGATTTTCACTTGCATTTTTATTTAAAATTATCGGTTTGGTTTGGTTTATGTGATTACAGCAAAGCCTCGAGGGCTATCTGCCTAAGGGGAGGGATGCCTTCGGGGAAGACATTTAAGGGAAACTGGCTCGTATACACGTAAAATTAGAGGCGTATAATTTAGCCGCCCAGCGCCCAGACGAGAAAGTGGTTAGTGACTCTGACTGCCCCACCAAAAGGCTCGAGTTCGAATCGCGGAGAATGCATGGGTGTAAATTGTCTGTCCCTTCACAGGAGGCGACGGTGGTCCGCCTATTGGGTGCCTCCATAATGAAGTGACCAACACTTCTGGCCTTAGTTAGTGGTCAATGTCTATAATACCTAGTTCCCGCCATTGAAAATAAAAAAAAGAACTTTTCAAATTATTATTATTATTATTATTATTATTTACTATACAGATCTGTTGTTCGTGTTCTAAGAACTGTAAAAAAAAAAAAAATTACTCTCAGTTTTAATTTATATTTTTCGCTCGGTGTTTTCTGAAAGTTAAATTTTCACTCTGGTTGTTTTACTAGGGCTTGGGGGGGGGTGCAGTGGAAAATATTTTGGACTCGTTCTCCAGTAAAAATGTTACGACTGTAGTGATGAATGAAATAACAAGTATTGGTAAGTAAAACGTTTTTAAATACGACTCTGGATGTATTTGGTATTAAGTTGTTTGACTGAAACTCGACATCTGTATTTATACATTAATGTGAGGACTTGGCCTGATAAATGTTAAATCTGGTTAGAACAAATAAATTTAAAAATTATATTTAATTAATTTAAAATTTTTTAATTTATTGTATAAATTTTTATGAAATATTATTTCAAAATTATATTTTTTATATTATTTTTATTTCAAAATTTTTATTTATTTCATAAATTTCATAAATTTAAAAATTATTTTATTTCATAAATGTAAAAACTACTGTTGGAAAGAATATTTTCATGCCTTTCGAAACAAACTTTTCAGTTTCGAATCATAAAAGAGAGAAGTTTAAGATTGGCACTTGAAGAAAAGAAGCAATTCGTTTATAGATATTGTAAATAAAACAATTAATTTGCTAGTACCTAAAGGGTAAAAAGTTATGAGTTTCGAAAAAGTATTCTTGGTCCTATGAAAGCTTCAGAGAGCAAAAATAATGCCTAATAGAACATAAAATTATAGAATTTTTAAATACTTTCCTCACTAATCTAAATTTATCAATATGGTCGAAATTTATACACATACATATCTCTAGCATTAAACCCTGTCCTTATATTTACATGAGCTGATGTAATAGCTATTTACTAGCTCTGAATGAGACTGCTTATTCATTAATGAGATGCAGATATACAACATTTCTCACGGAACTTAATTAAACACGGACATAAAATTATAGAATTTTTAAATACTTTCCTCACTAATCTAAATTTATCAATATGGTCGAAATTTATACACATACATATCTCTAGCATTAAACCCTGTCCTTATATTTACATGAGCTGATGTAATAGCTATTTA